GGGTGAGACAGAAAAGGTGTGGATGTGGGTGGAAGGGGAGGTGAGGAGGAACTGGGAGGATTAGGGGGAGGGGGAACTCTAATCAGAATACATTGTATGAAAAAAAAAATCTATTCTCAATGAAAGAAAAAAAAACAAAAAATTGATTCTTTTAGTTATTTTTTTTAAATCCTGTTTTATTTAACCTGCCATTGAATAAAGAGTAAGATGCCAAAATTAGTTTTTTCTTTTTCTTTTTTTTAAAGAAATTTTCCATTCACTTTACATACCAACCACAGATCCCCCTCTCTGCTCTCCTCCTGCCCCACAGCCTTCCCCAAAAGTCACCCCCCATTCCCACCTCCTCCAAGGCAAGGCCTCCCATATAGAGTCAGCAGAGCCTGGTAGTTCAGTTGAGGCTGGTCCAAGCCCCCCTCCCCACCCCTGCACCAAGGCTGTGTAAGGTGTCTCACTATAGGCACTGGGCTCCAAAAAGCCCGATCATGAACCAGAGATGGATCCTGATCCCACTGCTAGGGGGCCCCCCAAACAGTTCAAGCTAAACAACTGTCTCACCTGTGCAGAGGGCCTAGTCCAGTCCCATGGAGGCTCCTCAGCTATTGGTCCACAGTTCATGAGTTCCCACTAGTTTGGTTGTCTCTGTACATTTCCCCATCATGATCTTGATGCCCCTTGCTCATAGAATCTCTGCCAGATTAGTTTGAAAGAAAATGTGAAGATTGGCTTATACTATACAAACAGTCCCAAGAACACTGAACTGAATATGCTAATAAATGTAGAACTGGTGAACACCCTGTAAAGCCATTGGGTCAGACTCTGAAGTAAGGTTTTCTACTGAGGACAATCAGTATCTCTATAATTGAATTTCTTTTGTATTATCACTAGTTTTCTACAAGCTAAACTCCTCAGAATACCCCAACGTGCACATCCCTACTGGCTTAATGTGTCCAGCCTTCATCTGGTAGTCAGTTTACTCAATGGAAGGACATACATTAATCACCTCTCGTGTGTAAGCCTCGGGAATGTTTTGTTCTGTTTTTAACATCATTCTTCTGCCTGGAGGCCTTTCAGACATTTAAAGACCAGAGACAGCTCATTTTTCTCTTGGAGTCAGGTGCCTAGATTGGCTGCAGGTGTGCTAGGAACAGAGGGTATTTTATTTCAGTAACAAAAGGGAGAATTAAACTCGGGTGTCCTTAAAGCCTGGGGAGGGGTAATATTTACTGTAAGTCCTATTTACTGCCTACATTACTCTGAAGAAATCCTTTATTGTAGATTTTCTCTGCTCAGAAGAAATGGCTTTATATGAACAGCCATAGCAATGAGCTAGCAAAATAAAAAAGGGGGAATGTCAGCACTCAGACAAGTAGTATGCAAGGGTAGGTTCTGATGCAGCACCATGTCAACATTAGAGACAGCAAGTTCATTTGGTCCAAACACTACACTTTTGCATGATCATTAAGTTAGAATGATTAGAATTAGTTAGATCATTAGAATCAGAATACAGATAGAGATATTTCAGGCACAAGCCATATGCATTTAGTAGCTCTAGCTGGTATGTGGTGACTCTGAAGCCAGTCCTGCATTACTACCAGTATTGTCTGGCACAGGAGCTCAAAGTATGTGCTGGACAGACTTGGGCCAAACATCAGCACGGTCACATCAGGCTAGGGACCCCAGGGGCTGACATGCCCTCCCAGGCTTTCCTGTTGATAGGGGAGGTTTTACCCTGCCTAGTTCCAGGTCCCCCATCGGGAGCCATTAAAGTTACTCCTTCCAGCCTAATGAGGCAAGCGCAGAGCACTGCACAGAAGTGCCATACTTTCCTTGTGCATGCTCTATGGTGCTCTGAATTTTTAAAGTGTTCAAACAGCAAATCTGTATGAAGTTTGTTTCCCGATTCTAAGGTAGGCTGTTCCAGCAGGTCACTGACGTGGGCTTGCAGCAAAACAAGAAACGGGTAGATAGATGGGAAAAGACCTAAAATGGGACTGGAGAGATGCCTCAGGCTTAGGAGCACTTGGTGCTCTTTTGGAGAATTTGAGTTTGATTTCCAGAACCCACATAGTGGCTCACAACATCTGTAACTCCAGTCTCAGGGGACCCAGTGCCCTTCTCTGGCCTCCCAGGGCACCAGGCATGCACTCATAAGCATAAAAAACGAATCTTTTTTTTTTTTTTTTTTTTTTTTTTTTACAAAAGAGGCCTAAAGATAGGAAGAGCCAAGGAAAGGAGGAAGTGTGGGGAAAACAAGTGAGTTACACTTAAAAAATATGGAATTGGTCTTCTTTGATGGAAAAACAGTATGGCTGACAGCAATGTTTTCATTTTAAAAAGTGATTTAACTACAGAGATCTGGGGATGGGGAGACAGCCCATCTGTTAAGAACACTTGTTGCGTTTGCAGAGGACTGTATTTTGGCTTCTAGGATGCACATCAGGGGGTTCACAACTAATAACTCCAGCTCCGTGGGCTCATACACACAAAACACGTGCATACACGTGAATAGAAATAAATTTTAAACAGCAACAATTACAAAGATTTTTCTGGTAGTAATTCAACCCAGAGAGGTCTAAAATTATCAACTGACAAATTTATCTTTCAAAATAGAGAAGATTGGTGTCTCAATCAAAGTACTCAATGTAACCTTTACAATTCTAACTTCACATATTTCAGCATGAAGAGATTACTGCACAAAATAATATACAAATCCCTATATGCAGTTCTGTAGCTAATATTACCAAGGTTAAGAAACAGGTCTTAGTACTTACAATACCAAAAGTTACCCAAATTCTAATTACACATGCTGTAGGAGAGAAGCTTCCTTGACTATGGCCACATTTTACTTCCCTGAGCACCAAGTGAGACCTTGGACACCACGGCATTTTATAGAAGACCCATGGTAGCCTCGGCATGACCAGTAGTGAGAAAACCCAGGTCAGACCTTGGCCTGTGATAGGCCTTAATAAATATTTGCTAATTTTTGTAAATATGATTGGGCAGAGACAAACATTGTTGCCTAGCTCCATACTTTCAGATTTATTTTCGTTTGGATCACTGCAATATGTGGAAATAACTGCCAATGTGACCGAATCAGGAAGTCAGGCCTTTAGGAGATGACTAGGTCATGAAGGTTCTGTCTTCAGGAATGTGATAATGCTGTAGACAATAGCCTTCACTCATCTTGACAGTTTTTCACCTACTGGGAGCAGTGATGGTGAAGGCACCATCTTAGAATCAGACAGGCTACCTGAAAACAGGGAACATTTTGCCCAAATACAGAAGGAAAAGTAATACTTCTAGAGACAAGGGAGGGTTGTTAAAAAAAATGGAAGTGAAGAGGGGCATGAACTACATTGTAGATTTGGTAACAGCTCAGGAAAGGGAAAGAGCTCGGTCTCTGGGGGTGTGGGCAGAAACTGTTGCCAATAGTTAAGAGCACCACCCCGGCTGCCAGCATTTCCAGTTCTGGCACATGTTACAGTGTAGACGCACCTTGAACATATTATGTAACTGGCATAAGCCAGTCATGAAAGGGAAAACACTCTGTCATTGCTCATGTATGAGGTACACAAACAGTCAGATTCAGAGACTGACAGCAGAACGCTGGTTATTTGGTTTTGATGCAGAGGGTGGAGAATGGGAAAGGATTACTTGGTTGATTACTGAGATGGTGAATGTTCTGGGGAGGGTGCCTGGTGATGGTTGCATACCCAAGGATTGCACACCCGAGGATTAAAATGATAAAATGTAGTTTTTACCACAGTTAAAAAAAAAAAAAAAAAAAAAAAAAAAGAAAGAAACTTAAAACGATAGAGAATTTGGGGAGATAATTAAAAAACTTTCCTTTCTAATCACTAAAAGTAGGAATGTAATTTCCTTGCTTATTCTTTGGTTTTTGTGATGGTACCCCGTGAAAAAAACAGTAATGGATTTACAGAAGGAGGTGCAGAGAGAGCATCTAATCGGTCTAGGAGCACAGAAAATGTTTCAAAGAGTCCTTGAACCGGAACAAACTTTTTAGGCTCCAAGCACCTTGCTTTTCTTTTCTTTTTTTTTCTCTTCTTTCATTCTTTTTCTTTCCCCCTTAACCAGTCCACCAGTGGCTTATTTCCATACTTCCCCTACCACCTACCCATGCCTTTTCTGGATAGATCAACTCAAACAAACAAACAAACAAACAAACAAAAAAGAATTCCCTCCTTTATCTGTAAAGAAGGGTTCTGTGTTCAGAAGTGCGAGGAGTCTCAGGTTCTGCAGAATGAAATCTTTGTTTACCGTTGAACCACATTTGATATTTTTTTGTGAACTTCGACCCCCTGCAGGAGAGACCAAAAAGCGCATTCCAGAGAACTGAGGATGCAACAGGGCATCGCTTCACGCGTTAAAGGAGAACAGCAGGACCTCCGGGGTCCGCAGCCGTGGCTCCCGCACAGCCGCTTGCTCCCCGCAGCGGGGGAGGGGGGGGACGGGGGGGGGGGACGACACCCAGCGCACACTCGTGCGCAGGCGCGCAGCACTGTGCCCAGCCGCCCCGGCTCAGTGGTCCCCGGGTTGGTGTCCCGGTGGCTCCCGGAGTCCCTGCCGGCTCCTGCCGGCTCCCCAGCTCCTCTGCAGCACCAGCCCCGCCGCCGAAGCCAAGCGCGGCCCTTCCCTGACCCCGGGAGGCACCATGCCAGGGCAAAGTCCCCGAGGGTGTGAACCCCAGTGTCCCAACCCCTGGGCGGGGACGGGCGGCAGCGGCAGTGCGGGGAAGCTGTGTGGCCAGCACAACCCGCGCAGTCCTGCCGCGAGCCGCCTGGTCCCCCCGGGAGCCTCCGCCGCCACGCTAGGCCCGCACCGAGGAGCCCCGGCTCTCAGGGTC